CCTTCGCTCGAATGATTCTTTCATCTTCTCCCGCCAGTTTTTTTTTAACTTTCCCGGAGCTTCAAGGATGCTATCAGTTTTTTATTGCGGATCCACACTAGCTGCAGGCACATTTAATAAGTTCTGATACTTCAGAAAAGTCCAGACTTTTGTGTAATTTTCAATGAATTAAAGTTTCATTAACTTCTCCTAAAATTCAAAACCCGGAAATTTCAGAATAGTCCAGCGAACTCCAGTGAACTTAAGGAAACATCATAAGTATTTTGGAAACTACACAAGCCCAAAGAACTTCAGGAAAATTTAATGGTTTTCTGGAACTTTAGTGAAGTCAGAGAACATCAGGGCAGATCAATTAATTTCAATGAAATTGATGAAATTATAAAGGAGTTCCGAGAAACTCAGGCAATTTCCGAAAACTTCAGCAATGTTCATGCAAATTTAGGAAACGTAAGGGAAGTTACATGAACATTAGATCATTGTGGGAACATTTTATGGGAAGTTCTATGCTTTTTAATGGCAGTATCGATAACTTTTAAAAATTAAAAAATCAGGAAGATCAGAGAACTTCAATGCTGATGTTACAATAAATTCATGAAAATTGTGCGAGCACTTAAGAGATTTCGTAATCTTCAAGAAAGTCCAGAGGCCTTCCGGTAGTCTTATTATAATCAGGGAAGTTTCGAGCGTTTCAAGGATGTCCAGAGAACTCCAAAACAGCTCCTAATTTCAGGAAAATTACAAAAAGGAATGTTCCGAAAACTTCAGGGAAATTTCGGAGTCTTCAGGGATGTTTTTTTAATATCAGGAAAATTTTCTGGATCATTAGAACATCCCCCAGGAATCTTTTTCATTCGGAATGATATCCTTGTTTCTTACGACTGTTCCGTAAGCGTTATGATTTCCGACTTTCTTCCAATTTACCGTAAGAAGTTTGTCTCCAGGAAGTTTATTTCGTCTTCTCCAGGAAGTTCAATTAATTCTCCTAGAAATATCTTTGGTCTTCTTCTGGAAGTTTGACCATAAGCCAAAGGTTTTTTGTTCGACTTCTATTGGAAGGTTTTTTTCCGAGCTCCTTCTAGCTTCCCTGGAAATGGCTACTTCGGGATTTTTTTTTTAGATCATTATTTTAGAGATTTTTAGCCTAAGGTTAGTTCATCTCTTATTCTGGAAATTTACTTCCGGCTTCCGAAACTTTTCTGGCTTCCTTTGGATGTGATATCCGATTTTTTTTTTCGATAGTAAATTTAAATTTTCGCCACAAGTTTCTAAATTCGTGTCTTGGAAATTTCCCGGAGGTTTTCTCAGCTTTTCTCGAACTTTACCAGGAGAGCTTCATTCGTCTTTCTCTGGATGTTTTTTAAGCTCCTTTCAGAAACTAATATAAACATTCCCCGGAGTTTTCATCCGGAACTTTCCAATCATAGTTCAAAAGCTAAAATTTTGCTTTGAACTTTGCTGAATTTATATAAATTAGGCTCTTTAATCAGCCCGACATTTCGGCCGTAGGTTGTGGCTTTTTTCAAGGGAAAATATTGTTTGTCGTTATTGGAAGATTGCCGTAAAAGCTCAATGTAGATGTCGCCACTGCATGATGATGATAAGGTTGACAGACTGCATATAAAATTCGTGAAAATTAGCATTAAAGCCTAACTTTAATCAAGCCTGCGTAAAATCCTTCCAATATAACATTCGAAGTGAAGAAGAAAACGTTTTCACGATCAGACTGATGTGTATCTTTGACTTTTCCAGATGAACTTTCATAAGATTTATTCATTTAATTTCACGGCTCCATCAACGCTGCATCGTAAATATAATGTAAACAGAAGTAAATTGCTCAATTACTCAAAATAATGATGATTTGTCATCTTGTTATCACTTTGAAGACCATCTAGCACCATTTTATAGCATGGTGATTGTTGCGTAAATCAAGTTCCGGTGCGTTTTCCGTCGAAAATTGTGAGTATCAATATTTTTACCTAAAAAGGCCAAAATGAATATTTATTGAATATTGGCGTCCTATACAACCATTTCTCCATTATCACCAGCATGATACAATCTTTCCTAAGTAAATTCACTTAATTTCCACTTTTATCTTAGTGGTAATCGTACATATTTACCATTTTCCGAAAAATGCAGCTGCGCAGGAGGTAACCTCTTCCTGTGGGTGCAAACTTGTTATGCATAATTTTTTATGAAAACATCTCCGATCCATATCGAAATAATAACAGTTAGTTTGTAAACACGTTTTCTTACACGATTCAAGCAAAAGTTTCCACGGGAAATTATTAGTTTTTCTTTTTGAACCGATTCGCCCCAAAAGCATTTGTTTTACTTGAGGAATTTGGAAAGTATCCTCCTTCTAGTAGTTCTCACTTCGAAATGTAGATGGCGAAAGCTTGGAAAAGTTTCACTGCAAGACGCCAATGGTCAATGATTTAGTCGTTTTCCATATTTTGGTTTCATTTAAAGATATTTAATTGAAGAAAAAAACACTACTTGGTCACAATTTTGATCACCACTCACCATCACAGGACAACGATAATTTAAAAAAAAAATTTAAAAAAAAATTAAAAGGGCTTTAAGACTGAGAAAGCAATTCCCATTCAAATCGTTAAAATTTTCGCTTTCAAAAACGGCTATAATATAAAATTTAATAAATAGTAAATACCGATAAAAACCGATTGTTTATTACCCTTGATACCGATAATATGTTGAAGGAAACGGAATATTTCTAGACTAACATTTGAAAGGGGCGGAAGAGCCAAAATGTAAACAAACCATATTTTGCCACATATAGAGAGAATAGTTCACAAACTACTCGATAAACACGAAAAAGTAGAAGAAAATATCACTTCAAATCATCAAAAACGTTTCTTCTTACATGGCGTATTTCCAACTTTCAAATCTATGATGAATCTGGTTGTTACGCCTTGCACCAGAACTACGAATTATATCGTTTTAATATGCCAAATGTTTGGATTCTGTAGTATCTAGTCACGCCCGATTCATTTGAAATGCATCCGATTGATAGTTCACGTGGAAACAACGAACAAAAAGAAGACCAAAAAATCTCCGGGCGTAATTCCACTCTCACAAAATTTGCGAACGAAGAACCAAGGCGGAACAACAAACAAAAAATCCCGAGGGTGTACTTCCACGGCGTATCACCAGTGTTGGCAGTTCAAAGGGTGGAAGATCTGGGGGGTAACAACATGTATGAAATTATCAGGGCGTATGATGTTTTCTTCTCAATTTCACGACGAAGAAAACTTTTTTTGAGTTTTTAGTGATGCACGATGATAGATTACACTATTAACTATATGTCAAGCTTATAAAATCAACCAGAAAATGGAAAGTCGTGAAATAGGATTATCTTTTAGGTCAACAAAATTCAGAAGCCATTTTCTCGATATGGTCATTTTGGAAACGTTACAAAAGATTTAAAATTTACCTGTAAGAGTTTCACCGCCGAGCGAGTGCGTAAGCTGAAAAACCTGCAGGCAATCGCAACCCTCGGATTCCTTTCGGACAACATCCAGCACAGAATCCACCAGTTCGGCACTCTTGGTGTAGTGTCGTTTGACCCAGCTGTTACCAGCACCGGACTGTCCGAAAACGAAGTTATTCGGTCGGAACAGCTGTCCAAATGGTCTCGCTCGGACCGAATCCATAGTTCCCGGCTCAAGGTTGATCAGAACCGCTCGTGGGACGTTCTTTCCTCCGGTCACGGGAGTCTGAGTAACGACTTTAATAACGGAGCTGAAGCCGGTAATGTTGAGATTGACTGAGTGGTGTTGCTATGCAAGCGATTGCCCTGATTTTTTTCATGTACCTACTTCTTCGGAATTCAATTCGATTTTGGAGAATCACTGTCGGGACTTGATGGAGATTCACGGTTTGCAAAAATTGGATTGTATTGTGGCAAAATCAATAACAAATGTTGACACATGCACACTGCGCAGGCACAGAAAAAGTTCAGTGTTGCCAATAACTTTAAATATCATAAAAATTGTAACCATGGGTGCCAAACAGCACCAACGACTGTGCCCGGGTGTGCCTAAGTTTGATTTTGACACACTTTGCAGAGTTACCAGCCCCTTGGGAAAATCTAAGTTAAAGTTTTCCGATTTTCTCGGACACCACCAACTTCAAAAAATCATAACTTGTGCGATGCTTGATCGCACAGTCAAAGTCAATTGACAAAAAATACTTGCAATTTTGCCAACAATTCATAAAAAAAAATACATTTGGAAACAAATTTCACATGAAGGTTTTCACCATAAAATAAAATTCAAATGAAAAGCTGTGGAAACTATCGTATGTATCATGGATTTTTATAAAAAAAAATGTTTTCATCTTTGGAAATTTATAATTTTTTTCGGTGAAAATTTCAAGATGGTGTCTCATACCGTTTTAGAGATGTGCCCAAAAAACTGATGACCGGTCTATCGCTCTTCTTAAAAAATCAAATTCCTCTTTCTCCGCGCACACCGTTCGTACGCGTAGCAGCTTAAATACCTACCCATCTATATTGAATTGCAATCAAGAACCTTCACTGACTAGAACTGAAATTATCCGTATCATTCGTAGTTCTCTGTTGGTGATTGTTACCTGTTGTGGTTAATGCAGTCACCGGGCGGTCCCTTGTTTCAGCGTGAGAGTATTCGTGGACGAGAAGAATATATTGGATAAATGTCAGTCGAATTGTCAGACGATACAAATGTCAAATGTAGAATTGCTTTGTCATTATCTGGTGAATCGAGTGCAACATTATATATTATTACACTGGATAAGAGAAAATTGAATTCTTTATTTGTTACATTCATTGGTACATTGTGTAAGGAGACTAAATGTAAGAAAACATGAATTTATATTGTTGCTATCCTAACCTTAAATAAATTTACAGCTTTGAGCTATCTTGATCGGGAACACAGACGAGTTGCTTTGAAGACCTCCGAAATAATTTCAACATAATCTCAAAGATTTATAGAGTACCGAGAATGGAGAAATCGTTTGTTCGTCAGACTCGTTCCAAGACCAAGGCTGCCAAACAGTCTAATCTCTTCGGTGAAGAACATCTTAGTACTTATGAACACGATCTGGACAACCCAACAATGCAGAATTGTATATGGTCCAATGCGGAGGATGCAAGCGTTGGAACCATTTTTCGTGCGCGAGGGTGGATGGATACGAATACTGTCCATTCGAAGGAGTTTTGCTGTGCGGAGTGTTCGTCGAAGAGAGTACCAGAGCGATCAGCTAGGTCGGGATCTGGTCGATCGAGTGCTACAAGCGGTCGTAGGTCCCACATTGACCGTGAAATCCAACGTCTGGAGGACGAGAGGCGAGCTGAAGAGCAGGTAGAACAGGAGCGGATACAGCAGGAGAAGTTGCTGATTGAGAAAGCCGCTAAGGAGAAACTGGAGCGGGAAAAGCAGTTCATAGCTAGAAAGCACGAGTTGCTCCGCCAGCAGGACGATGACATTGAGAGCTTTGTGAGTCGTCGTAGTAGCAGTAGTAGTATACTAAAGGTGGAGAAATGGGTTGAGCAGCATATTTCCCGCACCGGCGCCGTCGGTGGTAGTGAGAAAGAAAACATTCCAGAGTCGGTCGAACCACAAGAGTCTATCCCTGTTGGTTCGTCTACTCCGTTGGGTGGTAGCGCAATCACTGCTGGAAATCAGCAACCAGCTGCTGACGAGCAACGGGCATCTGTACCCCGTACGATCGAGAGCATCACTATTGGTGACAGTCCGGAGGAAGATTTCCCCAAGTTGCATTTGGTAAACATTCAACCATACACGCGGCTTTTGGAGGAGTCAGGACCAAACTTTCCAAGTATTGAATTTCCCCTTTGAAAAATGGACGCGTGAGACAAATGAACTTCAAAAGCGTGGCAAAGCGGAACTGCAGCAAGCATACGACGAGAAGAAGGAATTAGAGAATCGATTACACGAAATTGAATCGAACTTGAAACGGCAACGTCACATGGAACTAGAACACCAGCAGGAGAACGAATTGAGGCGAAGGCGAGAAATAGAACTTGTAAACCGACTGAATCGACTGGAGGAGCAGCGTGCAGGAGAGCGGCAACAGCTACAGGAAGTGGAAAACGCATTGAAAAGACAACTAGAGGATAGTCAGCAACGATATCAGGCACTGGAAACCAAACGGCGGCAAGAACATGCTGCGCGAGAAGAAGAGCTACGGCGACTTAAAGAACGAGAGCAGCAGCTTGCTCAGCAACTGGAATCGGTTCTTCTACGAGAGAAAATCGGACATCCATCACATGCAGCATTACCGGAGTCCACGGGAAGTGGTACATCTCTGGCGTCCATGGTGAGTGATTCTCGATTTCATAGTTTCGAAGCAGATTCTGTAGCGTATGCGGATAGAAAGACACCTTGTCCTAGTGTCATTAGTACGGTGGGTAGAGCAGGAACACCTTGCACTTTTACCATAAATCGAGAGATAGGGCCGACAAATGTAACGCAGTTTAATCAATACCACCCTCCAGGGTTAGACAATTTCGGTAGGACTAATTTCTTGAATGCCCAATACGGACCTACGCGTCAACAGCTAGCAGCTAGACAGGTGATCCCAAAGGAACTCCCCACGTTTTCTGGGGATCCTACTGAATGGCCTCTCTTTGTAAGTAGTTACCAGCATTCAACAGATGCATGTGGCTATTCAGACTCGGAAAATTTGCTGCGTCTACAACGTTCGTTGAAAGGAATCGCAAAGGAGTCGGTGAGCAGCTTTCTGCTACACCCATCGACAGTACCTCAAATTATGTCAACTCTACAGACCTTGTATGGGAGGCCCGAGCAAATCGTGCATCACATGGTGACCAAAGTTCGTGCCACTCCCGCACCAAGAGCGGACAAGCTGGAAACTCTAATCCAGTTTGGTCTAGTTGTCCAAAATCTGTGTGGACATCTACAAGCGATTGGAATGGAAAATCACCTTTCCAACCCCATTCTACTACAAGAGCTCGTCGATAAACTTCCAGCCAACATCAAATTCAGCTGGGCACTGTACCAGGAGCAACAGCCGATTGTCAACTTGAGGACGTTTGGCGAATATATGGGAAGAGTCACGACCGCTACTAGTGGAATAACTAATGTTTGTCCGATTTCAAAGCATCAGAAAGATGAAAAACCTAAGGCGAAGGAAAAAGCATATGTGAACACACATACTACGTACGAAAAGAAGAAGCAAGGATCATCTGCCAGTCTTCCTAAAGGTGATCAACGGGTAGAGACATCGAACATAAAGCGCAACGAAAGCGATACAAAAAAGGAATGTCCGTTGTGCAAATCGCATGACCACATCGCAGAGAAGTGCGTCGAGTTCAAGAAGCTCTCAGTGAACGAACGCTGGAAAGTGGTGAAGGAAAAGAAACTCTGTCGGAGATGTCTGATCGCACACACTCGCTGGCCATGTGAAGGCGAAGTTTGTGGAGTAAACGAATGTCAGAAACGTCACCATCGGCTACTTCATTACGACCCTAAGCCGGAACAGCCTTTGACTACTACGAATGCCACTGTCACTGTCCACCGACAACCAGTTACGTCGACCTTATTCAAAATACTACCGGTCACGTTGTACGGCAAGACAGGCATCGACACTTACGCATTTCTTGACGATGGATCATCTACAACTCTCCTAGAGCAATCAATAGCTGACGAACTTGGGGTCGATGGCAAGGTGCAATCCTTGTGCATGCAGTGGACCAGCGGAATCAACAAGAAAGTGGCTACAACTCAAATCGTTAAGCTAGGTATTTCGGAACCTGGGAGTAGAAAGGTGTATCAGTTATCAGAAGTCTACACAGTTGAGAACTTGGGGCTTCCGGAACAATCGATTGATGTAGATGAGTTAGCTAAACAGTACAAGCACCTACAACGTTTACCGGTGAAGAGTTTCCAGAGGGCTACGCCAGGACTGCTGATTGGAGTAAATAATATTCATCTACTAAATACTGCCAAAATACGTGAAGGGAAGGAGCAAGAGCCTATTGCTGCAAAAACTCGCATCGGATGGGTTGTTTGCGGTTGTCTGCGTGGTGAAGAGAATCAGTTTCTACATCGTCAGATGCACATTTGTGCGGAATTAACCGAGCTCGATCTACATAATTACGTTCGAGAATTCTTCTCGGTGGAAAGCATAGGTGTCGCCGTTGCACCGAATTTGGAAGGCAAGGATGATCAACGGGCGCGCTTGATCCTTGAAGGAACGACGATACGGAAGACGGACGGAAAATTCGAGACAGGGCTGCTGTGGAAACAAGACGATTTCGAGTTCCCTGACAGCCGACCGATGGCCGAGCGACGACTGAAATGTCTCGAGCGGCGCCTGGAGAGGGATCCGAAGCTGTATGACAGCGTGCGTCAACAGATAGCAGATTACGAGTTTAAAGGGTACATCCACGTAGTGACCGATGAAGAAAGGGCTAAGTTTGATCCACGCCGTACTTGGTACTTGCCGCTTGGGGTAGTCTTAAATCCCAATAAACCTGGCAAAGTGCGCGTGATATGGGACGCGGCCGCCAAAGTAAATGGTGTGTCGTTGAACACGATGTTACTAAAGGGACCGGATCGCTGACCCCGCAAATGAGCGTAACGTTCAAATTCCGTGAACGAGAAGTGGCGATGTCTGGGGATATTCAGGAAATGTTTTTGCAAGTCGGGATCAGAGAAGAAGATCGAAGTGCACTTTTATTCGTTTTCCGTAACTCCCCATCTCAGCCCATGGTCACTATGGCGTCTGACGTTGCTATATTCGGGGCAACCTGTTCGCCAGCACAGTCTCAATATGTAAAGAATCTGAATGCGGCGGAGCACGAGCAAGAATATCCACAGGCGGCTGCGGCAATTAAGAATAAGCATTACGTCGACGACTATCTCGACAGTGTCGACACAGAAGAAGAGGCGGTTGAGTTGGCATTGGCAGTAGCGGAAGTGCATCAAAAAGCAGGCTTTCATATTCGGAATTGGGTGTCAAACAGGTGCAAGGTTCTGGAAGCTATTGGAGAGATCAATCCAGCAACAGTGAAGAACCTAACGATGAACAGTCAGAGTGGTTTTGAGCGATTGCTGGGGATATCGTGGTTGCCCGGTGAAGACGTCTTCTGCTTTAAACTTGGCGTACAAGGAGAGCTTCAAGAACTAGCAAAAGGGTTGGTGGGTTCGCTGGTGATCCAGGGAAAAATATTAATACAGGACGTGTGGAAAACAAACGTGGAATGGGATCAACAGATCCCTGAAGAACTTGTTGGGCGTTGGAAGGCGTGGCTGCAAGTGCTGAAGGAGTTGGAAAACGTGAAAATCCAGCGATGTTACTTTCCTAGGTACGATCCTAACTGCTTCGATTCATTGGAGCTTCATATCTTTGTGGATGGTAGCGCACAAGCATATTCTGCAGTCGCTTACTTTCGCGTACGTGACCGAGGGCAGATACGATGCTCTCTGGTTGCGTCCAAAACAAAGGTTGCCCCACTGCAGCTTTTGTCGACCCCCCGTATTGAGCTGCAGGCGGCGGTAATTGGCACACGGTTGCGTAAAACAATAGAAGAAGGTCATTCCGTCAAAATCAAGCGAACGTATTTCTGGAGCGATTCAAGTACAGTTGTCTCTTGGATTAGATCGGACACCCGACGTTACCGACAATATGTAGCTTTTCGCGTCAATGAGATCCTGAGTTTGTCGAAAGTTGACGAGTGGCAATGGTTAGGAACGAAGATTAACGTAGCAGACGAGGCAACAAAATGGGGGAAAGGCCCGAACTGCAAACCAGATAGCAGGTGGATGCGTGGACCAGCGTTCTTGTATGAAGAGAAGGATGACTGGCCGAGAGATAGGTTGGAGTTACTGGATGAAACTGTGGAAGAACTACGTCCAGCATACGTGTGCAGCCATATGTTGATAGTTCCAGTGGTTGATGTAGATCGTTTCTCGAAGTACGAGCGACTACTACGTAGTGTCGCGTACGTACATCATTTTTACGACGTCATGCTGCAACGGGCAAGAAATGGACTTCGTGATCACTCAGGAGTATTGACATGTGATGATTTGCAGAAAGCTGAACGAATTTTGTGGCGTATTGCGCAATCGGAACATTATCCAGATGAAGTGGCGACATTGAAACGTAACATGGATGCGGGGCCAGAACAGCGGAAACCGTTGGACAAAAATAGTCCGATTACGAAACTGACTCCACAGCTCGATGAACATGGAGTTCTACGATTCAGTAGCCGACTCGCAGCAGCTGAATACGTCAGCTATGATACCAGATATCCTATTATCCTACCAAGACAACATCAGATCACTAAATTGCTTTTGGATTGGTACCATCGTAAATTCCGACACGCGAACAACGAAACTATCGTTAATGAAGTCAGGCAGAAATTCTATATCCCGAAGTTACGAATTGAAGTACGTTCTGCAGCTCGTCGCTGCCAATGGTGTCGTGTCTATAAAGTTAGACCTGTACCTCCAAAAATGGGACAACTTCCAAGGGTTCGAGTCACGCCATTCTTACGACCATTTACATTTGTAGGGATCGATTACTTTGGGCCCTACTACGTAAAGGTAGGACGCAACTCGGTCAAACGCTGGGTTGTTTTGTTTACGTGTCTCACTATCCGCGCAATACATATGGAGGTAGCCCACGGTTTAACAACTGATTCGTGTAAGAAGGCCATTCGGCGATTTGTCGCCCGAAGAGGAGCTCCGCAAGAAATATATACTGATAATGGCACGAATTTTGTAGGTGCTAGCAGGGAGCTTCAAAACGAGTTGCGATCGATTAATACTACGATGAGCAGTACGTTTACGGACGCGAATACCAAGTGGAGGTTCAACCCCCCAGCAGCACCTCATATGGGTGGCTGTTGGGAGCGAATGGTTCGATCCGTGAAAACTGCATTAGGATCGTTACCAACAGCGCGAAAGCTGGATGACGAGGGGTTCGTGACGCTGCTGGCTGAAGCAGAACACATGGTCAACTCGCGACCGCTAACGTTTGTACCACTGGAACATGAGCAACAGGAGTCTTTAACCCCGAATCATTTTTTGATGCTGAGTTCTAGTGGAGTGCGTCAAGCGGTCAAAACCCCCGTGAACACAAAGAAGGCTTTGGCAGAGGGATGGACTTTAATCCAACATATGATGGACATATTTTGGCAGCGATGGATTGTCGAGTACCTACCGGTTATTTCCCGACGCAGCAAATGGTTCCAAGATGTAGCACCGGTAAAGGAAGGAATGTTAGTGGTGATAGCTGGTGAAGGGAACCGTAATGGTTGGGTACGAGGTCGAGTGATCCGAACTTATCTAGGTAAGGATGGAATAGCACGTAAAGCGGACGTAGAGACATCTAGCGGTGTGTTAAATAGACCTGTGAACAAACTAGCGGTACTTGATGTAGTTCCAGTTGGTGACGCCGAAAAGGATCTTGTGCGTCACGGTGGGGAGGATGTTGTGGTTAATGCAGTCACCGGGCGGTCCCTTGTTTCAGCGTGAGAGTATTCGTGAACGAGAAGAATACATAGGATAAATGTCAGTCGAATTGTCAGACGATACAAATGTCAAATGTAGAATTGCTTTGTCATTATCTGGTGAATCGAGTGCAACATTATATATTATTACACTGGATAAGAGAAAATTGAATTCTTTATTTGTTACATTCATTGGTACATTGTGTAAGGAGACTAAATGTAAGAAAACATGAATTTATATTGTTGCTATCCTAACCTTAAATAAATTTACAGCTTTGAGCTATCTTGATCGGGAACACAGACGAGTTGCTTTGAAGACCTCCGAAATAATTTCAACAGTTACCAGACATGGAAATAACACAGCTCCAAAGAAATTATTAAAGGAATTACATGATGGAATTCCAAGGGAATTTTATGAAGAGTTCCATGCTAATTGTAATCGAATACTTGGAATGCTGAAGAAAATACATAGGGAATAATCAGGCATAATATTGAGGATTACAAGAAAATTCTGAGGAAATCTCCACGGTTATTCTGAAGAGAAGGCTGAGGCTACTGCAAGGGATATTCCAAGGGAATTTTGAAAAAAAAATCGAAGGGAATTTTAAAAGAATGTTGTAGAGATATTTAAGCGAGTTCTTGCGAAAATATTTAATTTATAATTTAGTGGGCAATAAAGAGTGAAAGTGAGTTTTCTAGAATGCATTATATTATGACAAAAACTTCAAGGGAGAGGGTGTCTCTATGTGGGGTGAAATTGTTGAGATTCTTATATAAATTTCGATTTACCAGAAATTTACATAAGAATTAATTTTTTAAGCTTGCGACATAGAGTCTCATGAGAGAACACAGATTATACATTTTGAAATGTACCTTCAACCTGAAAATGTACAGGCAACATGATGTATGTACTTCGTATTTTCAGGAACAGGAGCTCGCGAGAAAATTGGCTGATCTGAAAGAAAATTTTCCGAACCACGACGAAGAATCGGTAAGAGTAAATAAGCACTCTACCCTACTGCAACAGCCTTCCGCGACGATGGTGAAGATCAATGTTCTCTATCGGCCTCCAGCCATCAGCGCCTATGGACTTTTCGATATCAATTTGAACTTCTTCTATCAGGTTTACAAAATTCACTATGCAGCGTTGAACTGGATTGATAATATTCTGCCTTTTAATTTTCCAGATGATTGCAGCTATTTTCACTCAGTGTGTGATACTTTTCCAGTTCCAAAGCTTTGAACCAAACTAGATTGAATTGATTTTGATGAATACTGTTAAGTTTTTTTTTATCGCTAAGATATTTTTGGCATAAATGTTATGATTATCGATCATCGATCCTCGAAAAAAATCATGCATTCGGATATTAATAAAAACAATTGCCGTTTTCTACCTCGCAAACAGTTGTACAGCATCATATTCTACAATAAAGCAAATATTTTAAACGAATAAAAATAAGCACCAAAACCTACCACTTAGAACTTTTTAAGTTTGGCCAGTTTGTTGTTTCGCTGTAGGCCCAGTCGTCGCAACTTCCGCCAGTACGCCTTGCTATCGGGATCCAACTCTTCCAGGGTCTGTGGCTTACCGACGTGTAAGCTCCACAGCCATTCCGGATATTCCGCGTCCGGTTTCAGTTTGATATCCTCGCCGGTCTTCAGGACGTTACTGCCGCAAACGTAGTTGACCAGCTTGTTGGCATCCGTTTCCACCGGGATCTCTTTCTTCTCCACCACCGGACCCAGCTTGCCGAGCTTTTTCTTCTTGGAACCGAGAGCTGCCGGAGAATTAGAATAAGAAGCTGATAAACACTGACCAGCACTGATGTCGGTACTTACCTCCCCCGGGCTTCGGTGTTGCATAATTTCGAACGATGCTGGTCTGAATGGTGCAACAGCGTCGGAATAACCCAGACATGTTATTCATTACTAACAAACTCATGATTACGGTGAATTGTCTAAAAAATTATGGAACTTTTCAACACTAATTCAGTAAAAATATTCGGATTTTAATTTGAAGAAATTTCACACCAAATCCTTCATGGCTTGCGTTTGTTTTGAATTTTCATTCACATGCGCTGGTAGCTGTCAAAGTTCGACCGTGTGTGCTGTGAGTGAGGGGAACTCACTCTCAGCACCGTTTTCGCTCTCTCCCACCACGGTTACTGTCAATTACACATGAATCATAACAAAATTCACCGGCTCGCGGCTCCCCAAAGGATCGAAGTTATGGAACATCAGCTTCCTGCATATTTCGCAATTTGAATTTTCTGAAAGAAAATTGCCCTTCCAAAAAGCACCACCATGATATCCCGAATACCGCTGAAGACGCTGGTCAAAACGGCTACCTACATTGCCATCGGTGGCATCACCGCTACGTTAATTATGAAATCCAAACTTGAAGATCGCATTCGCAGTCAACCCTACTATCGGGACTCGCTGAAACTGCTGAGGGCCCACCCGGGTAAGTTTGAATCAAATTGCTTTAAACCAGATCATGTTTTTCTAGTATTATTGTTGTGATTTTAGGTGCAATCCAAGTGCTAGGGGAACCCATCAAGGCCATGGGATTCGACATGGGCGAGGAGACGAAAAAGTACAGCGATGGGAAGATCGACGGGTTCACCGTTCCCGTCAAGGGCACCAATCAGCGGGGCAAGCTGCACTTTTGGGCCGAGCACAGGGAAGACAAGTGGAACATTACGCGGGCTGAGTTGGAACTGGATAACGATGCGAGCCGACGGCTGGTTATTCGGAAGGCGGAGTGATGCAGGGGGTGTTGGGTAATGTTGAAGGGTTGTACATAACGTTAGCTAAATTAGTAAAATACTTAAAAATACTTCCATTCCTGCTATTATTTTATTTTCGCTTTCCTTATTATCGACTAGATACAATGAATGGGATACAATGGTAGCTACATTGAAATAATTGTGACTTGGGTTAAATTATTCCAACAAGTTATCACAAGATCTGATGGAAATGTAGGAAGCACTTCTGCTACATAGTAATATCTTTAGGAGGGTTACGCACATTCCTTTTGAATACCAAAATGTTTTATGGTAGTCTGAAATCATAAGATATTTGATTTTGCGAGACAGAAGGGGGTCTTATGAAGGCCAAATATCAAGTCTCAAGGCAACATGATCATCGCTACTTGATTCACTGTTGGCTGTAAGCTCCAATCGGTATTATCCTCGGATTAAATCCCGATCAAGAATATCCGCCTGCTTTGATGTCGACATCAGAGTTATTCAACATGATGCTATGCAAACAATTCGCAGATCATCCAAACAGGGACGGTATTAAAAGTTAATCCGAGTTGGAGCTTACCGCCATGAGAGTATCTTCCGAGTCTTCGTAGTCTGATTCCACCATTTCAGTGAACAATCTTGTCGTGGCTGTTTGACGATTTGACAAAGTGGGGCAAAGGAACGGAGATCAAGTCGGGAAGCCGATGGTTCCATGGACCAGATTTTCTGTATCACGGAGTGGAAGAATGGCCGAAGCAAAAGCGTCCAAAGGTGGAAGTTGCCGAAGAGCTCCGGGCGAGCGTGGTGCTGCATCACATCGTGTTACCCGAGGAGTTTACGGAGAGGTTGCAGCATATTTCGCGTTGGACAGTAATGGTGCGGGCCATAGCAACATTGTTCCGATTCGTGTCCAACTGCCGGCGACGCGTCAAGAAGCTGCCGATCGAAGCCGTTAGGAAAGGTGTCAAACAAGGATCAGCGTTCCCCGCCGTGGATGTGCCGTTGCGACAGGAGGAGTACCAGCACCAGGCTGCAGAAACAGTTTTGTGGAAGGTAATTCAGGCAGACGAGTTTGCCGACGAAGTGAGGACCCTGGTGAAGAACAAGGATTCGACAGTACATGAAATGTCACTAGAGAGGACGAGTAAGCTGTATCGTCTTGCGCCGTTCCTGGATGAGGATGGTGTCGTGCGGATGGAAGGTCGTACAGAAGCGGCGGAATATGCGGCGTTTGATGCGAGGTTTCCGATCATTCTGCCGAAGGACCACGTGGTGACCCGAAGGTAGTTGGAACACTACCATCGGCAGTATGGGCACAGCAGCAGAGAAACCGTTGTAAACGAAGTTCGGCAGCGATTCTACATTCCGTGTCTCCGAGCGCTAGTAGATCAAGTGATGCGAGCCTGTGTGTGGTGCAAGATTCAGAAGGTGAAGCCAATTGTTCCGAGAACGGTACCCTTACCAAGGCAGCGTTTGGCGGCGAGGGTCGATCCGTTTTCGTACGTCGGCATAGACTATTTTGGTCCACTGGAAGTGTCTATTGGCCGAAGGAAGGAAAAGCGATGGGTGGCACTTTTCACGTGCCTAACTGTGCGAGCGGTACATTTGGAGGTGGCGTACAACTTGACGGCTGCCCCACACATGGGAGGTGCGTGGGAGAGAATGGTGCGCTCGGTGAAAGAGGCTCTAAAAACGTTCACAGATGGTCGGAAGCTGACGAACGAGATCCTGCAGACGGCACTGATCGAGGCAGATGATCAGCTCTCGTCCACTCACCTCGTGTCCACCAACGTGAAGGAAGACAAGGAAGCGTTGACGCCGAACCACTTTTTGCGTGGTCGTTCATCGGTCGAGTGTCTGCCGTCGAGGAATCCGGTTGACCTGGCCAACACGTTGCGTAGTAGCTACCATCGCGCACAGTTCTTGGCGGATGGATTCTGGGATCGTTGGCAGAGGGAATACCTGCCGATGTTAAACAAGAGGTCTAAGTGGTTCGTGGATCAGCGGCAAGTAGCGGTTGAAGATTTGGTGTTCGTGGCAGATGGAGAGAAGCGAAACGTTTGGGAGCGAGGCATGGTGAAGAAGGTGTTCGTTGGGAGCGTCGGAAGAGTCCGTTCAGACAAGCAGATGCGAGAAGGTCAGACCGGTAGCGAAGCTAGCCGTTCTGGAGGTCACTTCGAAGGAGTAATCCCCGTACTGTTCCTGATGGAACCAGCCACAGGATTTACGGGCGGGGGAATGTTGCCGTTGCAGTTAGGCCTGAAAGGGTTGCGGTAACATAACTACCGTGAACGCACCCCTTTGATGAGCCCGTTTTTGATGTTTCTTGCCGTCGCTGTAGCAGTGAGGCGCATACATGAATGTATACACACAAAGGTGCGATAGGGAGTGGGATACGTTGAACACGGCCATCGCTTGCGCACTACTTTGTTTTGTTTTCCCCAGCAGCTGTCCTGGAAAGAGAAGAATATAGACTCCATCGCGATAGATGTGTTTTTTGTTGTTGCGAATTATGTTTTGTGCCGATTATTGTACCTTGTAAGTTGTGTAATTTGTAGTTTATTAGTTTATTTGTAGCTTTTTAAATATTGTGAAATCGTAGATTGTTCACCACTGTTGTACCGCGGGAAGCAGATATGTTTTCATTTAGTGTAGGGTAAACGCTCCTATAGTTGCGGTACGTTAGAAGCGTTAGGTTCCTATAGTTGTGTATTGCGTCTCCATACACAACTATAGGAACCTAACGCTTCTAACGTACCGCAACTATAGGAGCGTTTCCCCTATTACTGTTCAATTACCGACCTCGCTGAGCCCGCCAAAGGTAGATTGGCATTGAGGAGTTGCAGTAGGCGTTAAAAACTAAATTGTAAGTTTGTTTAATGTGATTTGTTTGTTAATTTTGAATATATTTTAGTTGAGTTTTTCCGTCAAAAGACCTACTTTTGAAAATCGTTTTTCATTCGCACCGGAGGGGTGCGAACAACACAATTATTTAATTTTGGCTAGTAGTTTAATCCCAACAAACTTTTGGTCCGCTACATCACAACTGGCATCACTAGCAACAATCAATACGAAACTAACGATTTTAAATTGGCTCACCACTTTAGTAGCCTATTGGTCCCAAGCAAACGATTAACGTACCCTATTCTAGTTGAAATTCTATTACTACACTATGTTTGTTTTGATTCGCTATGAAAGTTTGACAGATAACATCAGGGGTGTGTGGATTCATGCAGAACATGCAGGGGTGAGTGAAATAGCTTGGGACTGCTTGGGACCGTTGTTCTGGTACTGAGTGAGCCAAAAATAATAATGATTTTCTTCGGAACCCAGTGGTCTTAGAGTTACCTCTATGTCACTAGTGTGCATCTTTCAACATGTAAAGATACAGACTAGCCCTGGGACCTGGTTGCAGTTAAGCAATCCTCGAGGTCAGCGCCAATGGAAACATGTATAAATGGCGCTGACTAGGTAGTCTAGTCGCAAAGGAGTGTTGAGCGAAAACCCAAAACTTGATAACTACAAAAAATATAACTCAAAAACGAAAAAAAAAACACATCGCTGCTTTCGTGATACAATGTGTTAAAAAGCTTAAATTTTCAAGGAAAAATATAAAAACATGTTGCGACCTCTATCTAAACAACCAATACAATCAATTATATATATTATTAATATTATATTATATTTTTTTCTAAATAGTATTTTTAACTACTTTTCATTTGATATTTTGATCTTTAAAATCGGCCGAGTGGCTATAATTTTTCAAGCCATTTTTGAAAAAAAAATTAAAATGATTTTTTGGACCACCCTAACATAACATGAAATGATCACCCTAATGACAAAATAAAAAAAATACAGGTCATAAAAAAAAGAAAACCACTCCTCCGGTAATATCTTCTGCTCCCAAATCTTGGCAATGGATCAATGAAAATGCTGAGGTTTTGACAGAACTATGCTGTGGCTACCACAGTTTTACCTGTGATCGTCGTAAAACAGTAGCGCTAAAAGCATGCTGTGGTGGGTTCAAAACTTGACCATCTAAAATGATCAATTGCTTTGTTGTTTTTCAGCCGACCGATCTCCTCCTCAGCTTCTTGGAGCTCAGGGGCCGGTAGCCGGTCGTCTTCTGCGCGTGCTCCCAGGTATGTTGCCGTGCCACCTTCGTTTTCTGCTGCATCACCGTTGAGGTGCTCGTCATAGTGCTGCTTCCACCTCTCACTCATCTCACACTCGTTCGTGAGAAGGTTACCGTCCAAGTCCTTGCACATTTCGGCAGGCGGCACGTAACCTTTTTTTTCTTAAACTTTATTTTTGAGATTTTTAGCCGTAGGCTAGTTCATCTCGTCTATGAAAGGTGGGGCCTCAGAAGGAGGACCACCAACAGAGTAGTTTTTTACATTGTTTATTTCAAAATTGGTTCCTGGCTCGATCGTACATTTACACAACATTAAAAGCTGAATAAGACATAGCTCCACACCGGGGGAACCGGGAGAGCCCCCACCAGGCAGAGATGTCCCAACAGCCGAAAGGAGTTAAAAAAGACTAAACTTTAAAATACAATGCAGCATTCTTTAAAAAGCGCATTACTGCTGCCAGTGTGGAGGGATCATCACCCAGCATGTCGCGTTTGCTATTTGGAAGCCCGTGGAATTCCCGCAGGTTCTGATACTGAGGGCATACGCATAGAATGTGCTCGATTGAGGCTGGAGTTCTGCAACCGACGCAAGTCCTGTGGAACGGCGTTCCACCGAAATTGTGCGAGATCTTGGTGTGACCGGTCCTCAAACGCGACGCTTTCTTCTGATGCCACTGGTTCAACTGTTCTGTCAATTTCCTCGTCGTCCTTTTGATCCATCTGATGAAGAGGGAGCGGTTTTTGGGTTCACTCTACGTCCCAAGCTTCCCGTACTTTGCACACGATCCAGCGCTAGACATCGTGTAACGGTACTTCGTTGGTATAGCGAGGGGCAGATGCTCCTGCCCCAGCAGTGCCCCGGAACCCAGCAGAATATCGTGTTTGGTGACGCGGACTTCATCGTCGCCTGTACCCAGGGATGAGTCGAGGCCTCGGATGTCAGGGCTTGTATGACGCTGTGCGAATCCGTGAGGACCAGGATCGGTAGGTCGGAGAGCGTTGTAGCAGCGATGAAGATGGCAGCAGCTTCAGCAGAGAAGACAGAACATTGCGGCGATAAGCTGCAGCTGGTTGGTGTGATGTTTTCGGCTAGACCGATACCGCGAGCCCGAGAGCGAGATCCGTCCATGTATCGGTGAGTGTGCGTGGGGTATTTTTCTCTCCTAACATTTCAGCGTGCATTTCAGCTACAGTCCTTTTCATGGCCACGGAATTGTCTCCGGCTTTGAACCTGTCCTTAATCCGGCTTTCGGTTTTTGGTAATGGTGTTTGCCAGCATTTGTCTCCATGCCAGTGGACCCTGGCCACTGGGGGGACATCTTCGTTGGCAGTCGTGCGGAGGAGTCTGTTCCCCTCGTCGAGGAGGAAGATCCATTGATTTCCGGATGTCTTCGAGATGAAAGCAGCGGCTTGGTTGCGATAGCTGCGGTTATACGGAAGCAGAAAGGCAGGATGCATGCAGCGTCAGCGGGCGTGGATGGCAGCAGGCCAGAGACAATCCGGACGTATGTTTTTTAGACTAGTGCTAACGTAGCTAAAAGCGTATCCGTTGCGATGCAGTTCATCTCCAACCCGTATAGAAGGCGACTGTCGATAATTGCACTCGCCTCGTGAAAACGGATGCTGCGGTTGTTCGATCTATTCTGTCGGGAAATGGTCCGGATGAGATTCACTCGGCTGCGGCAATTTTTCTTGACTGCACTGAAATGCTGTTCAAAGTTGGTCGTCAATTTTGATCGGTGGTCCGTTAATTCTGTGTCGAGAAGGGCAGACATGGCACCTGATGCTTTTAGAAGCTGATAATTCAAAGCCTACTGAGTGAACCCACCTGGCGACAGCGGAGACTGCCGCTTGGGCTCTCATCCTTGTACGTACTGGCGTGGGTCCGGTGGTGACGATGAGGATGTCGTCGGCGTAGACGAACACATATATGTTTTTCGGTAGTTGACGGAAGACTCCGTTCATCGCCACGAGGAACAGGGTAACGGTGATAACCGATCCTTGTGGGACACCTGTTTCCTCGGGGAAAAGCCGGTATTTGGTGTTGCCGACTGTGACTCGGAATGAGCGGTTGGACAAGAAGTTCTGGATGAAGTAAACGATGAGTCCGTTAAAACCCCAGTAGATTAGTTGCTTAAGGACGAGGGGCGTCCACGTTCTGTTTAAGGCCTTCGATATGTTGAGCGATAATATCTGGGTGTGCAGACCACTTTCGTAGGCGTTTTTGGGAACTTCCCCTAGGGTTGCGAAATAGGTGGTCGTTCCGAAACCTTGTCAGAGAGCGTGCTGTCGGTGATCAAGGAAATTTCCAGCTTCGAGGTGTTGCTTCAGTCTTCGATTGACCATAAGCTCTAGGACTTTGGCCATACAACATGTTAGCGCTATTGGACGGAACTTGCTGACTTCACGAGTGGCTACCCCGACTTTCGGGATGGGAACTACCAAGCTTTCCTTCCATACTGCCGGGTACCCGTTATATATATATATTTTTTTATTTATTTATTTCGACAACCAACGTAGACTAAGGCTTGTACTCGAAAAAAAAAATGCACCATTTTTATCCGTGTGTAGCTTTTTTATCCGTGGGTAAAAATTGATGAAAATCTGGGTATAACTAGTTTGTAGTGAATTGTTTACATGTGAAAAATTTCATAACAATCGGTTCAGTGGTTATTGAGATGTCATCGAAACAAGAAGAAAATCGCCGGAGAATTTTGCGCGCCGTCATGGAAAATCCGACTGCGATCATGAGATGGATCGGAAGACAACTGGGAATCACCCATACAACTGTGTCTCGGGTGGTAAAATCGTTTAAGGAGTCCCAGACGACCGAGCGGCGGGCTGGAAGTGGAAGAAAATCGAAGACAGCTGACCCTGTGAAGGCCCGGAAGGTGTTGGATTATTTCAAGCGTAATCCGAACCTTTCAATTCGCGACGCGGCTCTGAAGGCAAAGTGTTCCGCCTGGTTCGTTCAGCAAACCATCAAACGAGCTGGGCTTCGTGTATTCAAGGTCCGGAAGGCACCGAACCGGCGTGATCAACAAAACACGGCGGCCAAATACCACGCAAGGAAGCTGTATCGAGAGTGGTTAACGAAACCGATGTGTGTGGTTATGGATGACGAAACCTACATCAAGGCAGA